CCCCCCCCGCTCACCCCCGTTGCACGACGTTATTGAGCTGTGTCGGGCGGGTTGAGAGCAAAGTGGGGAGGATGACAAGCGGGAGGAAAAGGAGCTAATCATGTTGTCGAGGTGGAAAATATTCAAGACGGAGACGTGGACTCACAATGATGCCGGCGGTCCACGGGTTGAGCAGGAGCAGGGCGCAAACCAGGAAGGTGCATGCCAGCACCACGCTGATGGCCAGGAGGAACCAATGTCGGAGGCCTATGTACTGCTCCCAGAACAGGAACGGGTATCCGTTGGGGTAGTTGAACAGGCCCTTGCGGCTGAACTCGTCGCAGATGGCCCGCACGCTCTCAATGGCTTCCACGAAGTCGCCGGCTTGCCGTAGCCCGTTCAGGTAGTACGGGAACTGAGCGAACTCCAGGGGCTCTGCGGCCGGAACTGCAAGGAAAGGGAAATAGGGCGGGATGTGACGGGGTATCCTATCTTGAGCGCTATATCGCAGTCTCGATATTTATTGTAGCATCTAGATTTAAGATCAATCCTGCAATGACATGATATCAGCTTTTTGTCAATTTGTCTATTTGTGCCCTGCGATTGGCTGGCAACCAGTTCCGCCTCGCGCCCAACGACAGCTGGGATAGGCTCCAGCACACCCGCGACCCCCGTGAGGAGAAGACGGATGGATGCAGCAAATTGGATCTCTCGTCATTCTCACAGTGCTTTGTCCTGTTTCTCGTCTACTAAAGGGTGAACTTTTTTGACAAGAGAAATATGTTTTCTTTGTGTTTAAAAGGTGTCTTTTACGGAATCTTTTTTTTTATATGGTCGTTGCGTCGCGGATTGGGCGGGTCTGTCTCGTAATTGCGCCGTGCGATTTTTCTCGTGCAAAAATGGTTTGGAAACACGACAAAATAGAAGTTTTGAAGACTTACTGCGCAGATTCTCCCCCGTCGTGTCGTACTTGTCGTGGATCCACTCTCTGGGATGCGGATAAAAGTTGGCCTGGGAGGCGGCGTAGCCCAGAGGATCGTTACTGACCCACACCGTCAGGTAAATATAGAACACCTCAGGGGGGATGAGACCCTCCGCATCCACCAGTCGGCGAGAAGTCAGCTACCAAAGGGAGATTTTGTCAGATGGGACGCCAAGCGGAGGTGTCGGTCGTGCAAAAAACACAGAAGCGACGTCTCCTCTTACTTGGCTGTAGTTAAAAGGCTCTTTCTTGGAGCCAGTTTGGATGAGGAGTTTGTACGCCAGGGCGCCGTCCTCGGTGCCGTTCCGGTAGCTGTCCGAGGTGATCCTCCCCGCCAGCCAGTCTGTGTCGAAAGCAGCCTGAAGACCTGTAAAAAGGAACATGAAAAGATGACCGCGCTTGTCATGAGTTGTTTTTTTATTTCTGCTTCGGTGAAATTATAAGAGTAGCCTTCGGGTGAGGGTGTGAAAAAAAAACCCAAAAAACTATCATGTTTCTGTTTCTGTCTCGTTTTGGACAGCTGGCTTTGATTGGCCTGTTAGCTATTACTTCCTCCTGACTGGGCCTCTGACATGTCCTAGCCCGAGGACGCACACGCACATGCAAACGATAACCTCCGACCCCACCCCAATCTGTCTACTGCTCCACCCCTGAGCCCAGGTGGATGGGGGTAAACAGCGCGAATGAACTTTCACTCACCCTTCG